CACAACTGATACGTTTCTGGGTGTGAAAACATTTGTATAAGGTATAAACAATTTTTAATTTACAAAAAAGTATAAAACGTGAATTTGTAGTTTAACCAGGGGTTAAAAATCCTGTCCTTAGGCCCCATCGACCCTCAAGTAAGGTTAGTTATATGGAAGATGGTTCGATGGAGGAATATCAAATACTTCACCATAATAACCGAGTGAATGATGTGTAAATAAAAAGAATGTATTTAAAAATGAATCAGAGTGTGAATAGGAGACTGATTGTGTTTGGTACTGAAAGCTGTTCATAGCCTCTGGAACTGAACGTCAGTGGCTAGTCGGATAAGACGCGCTTTAAGATTCTGCGCGATTCTCGAAGTCTGCTGGTAATTTATTGTAAATTACAAAAGCTGTTTTGTATGTATGACATAAATGTGCATATCTGAGCTTATATAAATCTGTAATCATTCATATATGGCATTTTTTATATATTGTTATGTGGCCTTATGTATGAATGATGTTCCACTTGGAAATTCCTCATTCTGTTAAACATATAGATTTGGACATAATTCGTTATTTAATCATGAAAAATTAATTTATTGTTAAGGTGTATTTCATTTTACCTATTAACGGTTGGAATATTTATTAATGTTATAAATAAAGTAATTACGAAAGGAAGGGTTTGCTTCTACCTCGATACTAAACCCGCACGACAGATGTGTCATCCATCACTGTATACTTTGAACGCCTACCTCCACCGCCGGTATTTCAAAATATTTCATCCAAAACATTTGGTTTTATACAAGTAATAGCACGTCGATTATTTATCCTACGGCGGAAACAACGACAGTAAAATATAAGCGGTCATTTTTCGGCATGCGTTAGATTTTGTCGACCGTCCTCAGCGAATTATAGCCGTTTTTGTTTGGCTCATCCACGGTTCATGCGTGGTTTGCCACATCGAGATCTGCATTATGTGTTTTGCAGGCTATCCGTGATTTTATAGGTCCGCGGCTCGGTCGCAGGAGTTGGTCTAATAAAATACGGAAAGAAAAGTTCTGGGTATTGAAAACATAGATATTTTATCTCGTTATGGTCTGATTCATTTTTTATTGTTTGAATTAAAACTATTAATCTGCAAGTTAATAAGACGATCAAAAAAACAAGAGTGTATGGCCAAAAATTAAGAAATATGGAGTACTTTAAACAATCTATATTGCTGGACTGTGAACAACATTTTTCAATTTTATTCCTTTTACCCATAACATTATATAAAAAAAATTGTACAAACCTATTTCAATAAATGTTAATAAGAAGAATGAAATAACTTTATATATTAAAAAACGATCAGAGTTTATGTCAATCTGAAAGAAAACTTAGATCCTTTGTCGAGCTTTTGCAGTATATATACTCTTCAACAGGCTTTCAAAACTTTAATGACACATCGAAGATAGTAAAAAAGTGTAGCCTACAATAAAAAATTAAAACATTAATGTTACACATAAGTTAAATATTAATGTTATTAACTTTGATATAATACCAGTATACTCCTCCCGCTGGCTAAAGAGAAAAGGACTACCCAGGGCTCGCAAGAGAAAGAATAATGATTATATTGATAATCATCACTAAACTTTAAAATTTTTAATTATTTTGATTATAATCAATCATACGTTGGAACACATTGTAAAGTAAGAATTAATTAAACACGTTTTTAAAATAACTACATTTCATAAAATTTCTATTTGAAGTGTATTCTTCACGGGCTGTTGGCACAAAAAAGAATGGATACTTAATAAATCAGATAAGCCTAATTGTAATTTATTTAGAAATCGTGAAATGCGGTCCGGTGTGATGTAGGTTTCAGAAAAACATTTTCTTCATCGTGCCAACGTTTCGATCTTTATTGAGATCATCTTCAGGGCCTGGGATTTACAAACAATGTTTACATTTAACAAATACATTTAGGATGTGGAAAAGTGAATTTATACAATGCAAAATATATTTTATATTTAAACAAGGTATATCTACTCACTCAAAGTGTTTGTCTTCTGTGTAATTGTGCCATCCTTGCGTGTGCCGAGATTGCCAGTGAGATTTTGCTATTTTGTGCTTATACACGTTGGATTTTGAAGGGGTGGGGAAGGATGTCGGTATAGAAAAGACATTTTTGTAAATGTCTAATTGTAATATTTTATAGACAATAAATTTTTAAGTTTTATAATAATTTTATATTTAATAAGGATGTAGTTATTGACCGGCAGTTGTTAATTCTAGATGTTGATCATTGCTGTGGTACAAAGAAGAAAACTTTCATAAGTACCTGAGGAACGTGAAACATACATGCCACATCTAGAAATTTTGTATTATTATTTATCTCTTAATAATTTTATGGTTCATGTTAATGAGCACAGAACTCCATTTATCCAATTTTGTGATAAATCTTTTTGTTATATTTTCCCTTGGTTTTGGTTTCAGTTATATATGGGTCATTTCAGAAAATATAATGGGTACATATTATCCCTTTTTTATAATAAATCCAATCTGTCTCCCTATCCAGTACGTGTAATAATGAAATTCATAATTAATAATTAATTTTTTTTTTATTTTTTTTTACCATCAGCATCTACTGCCATGTTTCAAATTATACTACAACAACAAAAGTTACAATACAATGCAACGGTAACATTATGAACAAAAACTAGCTAGTAAAAGTAACATCCAAAATTTGATTAACAAAGTATTATACCCTTAAATTTATTGTTTCGCTCTTAAATACAAAGTGTCATGCGTTTAGAACTAATTATGCAAAATGATTTTAGATATTTTTGCTTAATACATTGGCGATTAAGGCGTCTGAGTCATAACTTGCAATTGGTCAATCAAAGTTTAAATATTTTGCCTGTCAGTAGGCCGATTAATGAGCTTTGACATGCTAGAGGTTTATAAATGCTCGAAAAAAAATTTAAACTAAATAACTTTTTTCCATGTGAAACAATTAGTGTTATGTTTAAGAAAATAAAAGGACGAAATGTTTCTGTTTTGAAGCGATTATCAACATAAATCATGAGTAATAATTACAAAATTAATTACAAGTGTAATTTTTTCTAATTACTTTTGTTTATATTACTTAACGGGCTTAGTGAACAACGAACCTTGTCAAAGAAGTGACCAATTCAATTGCGACCGTTGTAAACTTGACAAAAGCAGCTTAAAGAAATGAATTTGACAAGTTTTTGTTGTAAAGAGTCTGACTCGTCGTAACCGCTCCATTCATCATTGTTCGAGCACATTCCGAGGCGAGTTAATGAAATCAATAATTTACAAAGATTTACGGGTTCAGGGAGGGAAACTTTGTCACTTACGCCTTAAATCCAACACCCTTAAGGGCTTTTTGGCTTACGCGAGAAAAAAAAAAACATTTAAATTTAATGGAACCAATTCAATTAATATGGATTAGATTCCTCTTCGCCCGCGATTTAATACATTCCGTCGGACTGCGATACGGTTTGAAACTTTTCCTTTTTCACAAAGCTAAGCATAACCGCCCCCATCAAACATGGATGGGGCAGTAAACGTACGCTTCCGCACCGCCCGCTTGACCCATTTAAGGCAAATCCAAGTGCTCTCAACCGCCCTGTGACAGTTAAAACAAAATCAGCTTCAGTCCTGAAAATTAGAAGCCTGATTTCTACCTCAAACTTTGAATCTAATGAAAAAGAGAAAAACGACGATAAAATATATAAAATTCTTTGCAAAACGCATGTTCAAGTATTATTTAGAAAACATCTATAATCACTAGGACGTTTAACACGGATGTATTGAAATTTTTATAAATAAAAATTACTTCCATATTTTCTATTACTGATTAGAAGTTATTAAATTGTTTACGCTAAAATTATTTGTATGTACGTAAAATAATATTTTATATATTAAAATTTTAATTTTGTATATATGCTTATATTTTAATTAATTCTATTTTCTATCTAAGGGCTTGGTTGAGATGAAAAAACTAGTATCACGAGCGGGATTCGAACCCACGACCTTCGGCTCAATACGCCGCTGTTCTAAACACTTGAGCTATCCGTTACTTAGATCCACTCGGACACCAACTCCTCATCACAACCTACAACCTTTTGAATTTTCCCTCTTTTTGCCATATTTTTTTAAGCGGGAGGTAGTGGGTTCAAATCCCGCTCGTGACACTAACTTTTTCATCTCAAGCAAGACCTTGGATAAAAAATATAATTAATACGCTTCTAATAATAATATTACTACTAAATATATATATCTTAATACATGTATATATTTGAATATAAAACAGTAATTAAGTAAATATCAATTTCGAAGGGGTTCGAACAGAGATTCAATATAAACTTACGATTCTTGTGTCAAAATAGCCATAGATGTTTCATTAGCTTAAAAATTAATGTAATAAAGAATCACCATATTTAAAATATTTCTTGTTATTGCTCTTTGGATATACGGCATATTTAATTATAAATAAACACAAACCATTATTTTATGGGTATTATGTTATTACAAACTGTAAAACTTGTTGAAATATGTTTTTAAATGTTGACGTGTTTGTACTATTGCTTTATTTAAATATTAAAGAAGATCGTACAATATAAAAAACATATCATTTTCGTTGTATACGTTTTAATTTACACTTTTGTTGATAAACATGGTCTAGGATTTTCGTATAGGATTTTATTCGAACATCTTGATGGGTGCGTTGGGATGAACATGAATTATTTTGTTCATAAAAATGGCAATGATAGACAGACCAAAATGATCCAAAACGACCAACCTACAGAAACTATATAGTTTATAAGCAATTAACCGACTTTTAATGACCTTACCTGGATTGTAATTATTAAGAATTTGAAAGGGGGTATTTAAAAAAGAAAAAACATTTATTTGTATACGATTTATATCGTTTAAATACCTGGTATTTCATCCTAAAAAGACAAAAAGATGTAGGAATAGTTTAAATAAAGGTCTCAAACGCCTACCTTAACTGACGTTTGGTTGTGAATTTAAAAGCTGGTCGCTGGTGGGTCCATGGGTGATTCGGTGGCGGGGCCACACCTTTTTCCGAGCCCGGAACCCAAAAAAAAAGGGGGCAGAGAGAAATGTTGAGGCGAGCGAGGAGAGCGAAGAGGGAAGCGTTCCCGACGGAGAGGCTAGGCCACACTATCCAGGCAGCCGCCCCCACCCGCCGCTGCCACCGCCTTCCCACTCTTTTCCGCCCCACTTCCACCCCCGACGATTTACCACACCTCCGCCCTCGCTCAGGGAAACTCGGCCAAATTCAACTCCGACCTCCTTTTTCTGCGTATATTGATTGCGAACCTAAACCAAAAAATGTTTCTCCCTTTGAAAGGAAAACAGAAGCCGAATCAATTTCCATCCATGATCTCGAGGGCGGGCCGGCCGGGATGTATTGGGTTGTCCGGAAAATAATGCAGGATTTTAAGTTTTCATTAAAAAAAATCTATATAAAATATTCTGTTTACGTTTACAGGATTACTCATTTGTATGAATGTCAACACTTATTAATCCTCTTCCAAATGATATTGTTTGTTTACCTCTGTAGCATTCCGCTACTTGGAAATAATTCAGTCATCCTTATAATGTCAAAGCGAGAATTTCGTACGATTTTCTTTTACGAGTTTAAACTCGGCCGAAGCGGAGCCCAAACGGCTAGAAACATTAACCAAGTCTGGGGCGAGGGTTGTGTTAATGAGTGCACTGTGCAAAGGTGGTTTAAAAAATTTCGGGAGGGAGATTTCAGCCTTGAAGATGAAGAAGGTCGTGGAAGGCCTTCCTCTCTTAATGATGATGTTCTGCGATCAGTGGTGGAAGAAAACCCCAAAACAACTGTTCGAGAACTTGCAGAGCAACTCAAAGTCAGTAAAACGACCGTCGCTGACCACCTCAAGGCGATTGGAAAAGTGAAAAAACTCGAAAATTGGGTTCCACACTCATTAAACGATCGCCAAAAAAATCAGCGCTTTGATGTTTGTGCATCACTTCTTTGTCGAAACAAAAATGACCCATTTCTGGCCAGAATTGTTACATGTGACGAAAAGTGGATTCTCTACGATAACACTAGACGTTCTGGACAGTGGCTCGACAAAGGAGAAGCTCCAATACATTTTCCAAAGCCCCCAACTCATCAAAAAAAGGTAATGGTTACGGTATGGTGGGCTTCATTTGGTTTAATACACTACAGCTTCTTAAATCCTGGCGAAACCATCAATGCTGAATCATACTGTAACCAAATTAATACCATGCATCAGAAATTGGCAGTAATGAAGCCCTCTTTGGTCAATCGGAAAGGGCCCATTTTGTTGCATGACAACGCTCGACCACATGTGTCACGTGTAACGTCACAAAAATTATTGGAGCTTGGCTATGAAACTTTGCCTCACCCACCCTACTCTCCGGACCTCTCGCCTACTGACTACCATTTTTTTAGACACCTGGACCACTACTTACAACACATAATATTCAAAAATCAAACGGAACTGGAAAATGCATTTATTGACTTTATCAATTCTAAAAATTCTGAATTCTACTCAGACGGAATTAATAAGTTACCAACACGTTGGGAGAAATGTATTGAGAGTATGGGAAATTATTTTGATTAAAGAACATTGCTTTAAAGTAACTAGTTTCTTTTTTTTTGTTTAATACCAAAATCCTGCATTATTTTCCGGACAACCCGATATAAAAGCGGAAGGATCTCTTTTAATTCTCGCCCTAATCCACGGCGTCATTATGAATGAAAACTAGCCATTCATATTATACGAAGCATACTTGGCCCATCTCTATTTTCAATATATACTGCAGATATTCCAACACATGTTAACATTTCAACACATACATTCGCTGATGTTACAGCGATTCTTACACGTAATTCGGACCCCCTCAATTAACCCTCACCACTTACAACAACACCTGAATAAATTAACAGTATGGTTCATAAAGTGGAGGCTAAAGATAAACCTAATGAAAAGCGTTCAGATAAATTTTACTATCTGTCCTGCAGTGAGTATAAATTGGAATCCCATTGCCTACCACTGACTTTGTGCGTTATCTTGGACTTTTCATGGATAAACGACCGACTTGGAATCCCCACACAAGACTGACAAGACAGCAAACAAACCTACGTCATAAATTATTAAAAAGACTACTTGGCCCACGATCGAAATTATACATTGAAAACAAACGTTTAACTTACAAGCCAATGACTCGACATCTCTGGGCGTACGGTTGTGAAGTGTGGGGCTCAACCAAGGATTCCAAATCCCAACGTCTCCTATCAGTTCAATCTAAAATTCTCCGACAAATTTTAAATGCTCCTTTTTAAGTTTCAAATTACATTATTAATAATCCCTTATATTTAGTGGTCTGATTGACCAAATAACATCTTTCATTTAATTAAACTTTTTATGTAAGGTTTTGGTTGAAATGAAAAAGTTAGTGTCACGAGCGGGATTCGAACCCACGACCTTCGGCTCAATACGCCGCTGCTCTAACCACTTGAGCTATCGTGACTTCGATCCACTCGGACACCAACTTCCCATCTGAACCTACAACCTTTCGAATTTTACCTCATTATGCCATTTTTCAAATGCCGTGTAATCAGGATTCGATTCTCTGCTACTTATGAAGTGGCCACGGCAAGCTGTTAGTGAAGTGAAACTGCTTTTAATTATAATCCATTATATTAAGTGGTCTGATTGACGAAATTACTTCTTTCAATTAATTAATCTTTTTATGTAAGGTTTTATATGAAATAAAAAAGTTAGATCTTTTTAAAAAGATAGTTCCTACTCACAATAAGTTGTTTTCAACGATCCGGATTTCGAGCTTATAGCTCATCATCAGGTTGAAGGAGTTCTACAACCACGTCTCTCTACATGAATTGTAAAAGTGAACCCGCCGATTCAGCCCAAATTTCGGAGCGGCGCAAAGTTCCACTTACTGTGAGTAGAAACTATGTTTTTAAAAAGAATGATCAAAACACTCACTCCGCTATTCATCATTTCTACTGAAAAAGTTAGTGTCACGAGCGGGATACGAACCCGCGAACCTTCGGCTCAATACGCCAATGCTGTACCACTTGAGCTATGGTTACTTAGATCCACTTGGACACCAACTCCCCCTCTCAACCTACAATCATTCGAATTTTCCCTCCTTTTTACCATTTTTCAAATCATCATCATTCATAATGATCTTCACATCCTGTTTGTACACGAACTCGTCAAAACGCACTATAAAAAATTTCATCAATCACTGAACACACACAACTATCACCCCCAAGACGATTGAAGCTAATGTGGCCCCGAGACCTTCTCGATTAGTGAAGATTGAAAAAGAATTCAGTGTGAAGTAGTGTTGCCACTGGGTATCTTCTCCTGCAAGAGACTCAAATGACAAATTCAACATATATGAACATATTTACTTAAAAAATATTTGTAGTTGTAAATATTCAATAAATGTACTAAACAAATCAGATTATATGAACGTTAATAATCGTAAAAACGGCATACATTATTCATTGACTCCATACACAATATGTACTAACAGAACTTTTTCATACTTTGTGCTAGCTGCAATTAAAATAGCACCCACATTTGTAAACAGCCCCATTCAAAAACGTTTTTTTGATTTATTCCTTTTTTGGTTTTTATTTATAATTTCTTTTTTTTTTAATCGATCATATAATAAAGTTTTTTCTTGTGGTCAGATTGGTCTCTTTATCACAAGAAAGACTTTTTTGGAGAAAAAATACATTTACTTTTTTTAAATAATAAAAAAAAAATAGTTATGAGAGACCTCTCACGAAAACAGCAATGCTAGGCAGTCCAAAATGATTGGAAACGTTTAAATTTCAGGTTATCCACCTTGCAGACCACACGGAAAAATCTCCCAATATTTTAATTTTTTGATAGTGTCCATCTTAATTTTGTGGAACTTCATAATAGGTTGATTGGTAGGAAATAAATAGTCTATTCCACAATAGTCGTTTATTTCGTCAGACGCGTTTCGATCTAATAAATACCACCTTCAGTGACTTTATTTTTAAAAAAGTCACTGAAGATGGTCTGCATTAGACCTATACTCGTCTGACGAAATAAACGGCCATTGTGGAATAGACAATTTATTCCCTACCCATCAACTTATCCCAATATTTTGTTATTTTTAATTTGAACGTTTCACAAAAGTCTAGATAGTAGTTCGCAAAGGTATTTGAAATAGTTCACTTTTTACTTACTTCAAACGTTGACAGCTTATTCCATAAAGACTCCCATATCTCATAAAACGTCAATCAAATTTGTTACATTAATGGAAGCAATGGAATGAGCATTGAAAATCCTACGAGATTCGTGTTTTTATTTAACGTTAAGCCAACAAAATACAAAATTATTTACAAGATAAACTTTCATGCGTTTTCATAGTTTTTGTCTTAGATTTACACGAGATTTTCTTGATTTTGTACATAATGACAGATACAGCTTGCACAAAGTTTGCTCCTGGTGATAGTAAACATATGTACTGAATTTCTCTAAAGTCACAAGTTATTCTTTGTAATCTTTCAATTAATTAAGGTTTTTAGTTGTGATAAAAACCTTAAATGAAAGATATTAATTGGTCAGCGGACCACGAAAACTAGTGAATTCTTTGTAATTAAAAACTTAACCATTTCCATTTGAAAACGTCTACTAATGAAAGTAATACAAAGTAAACAAAACAGACTCTTCGGTACAAAATTGTATATAAGAAAACACAAAAAGCTTCTAAAATTTAAATTAAACGTTCAAAATGCTACCTACTCTGGCTTGCATTCTCAAAAGGAGTGAGCATTTTTAACATTTAATTGAATTTTTAGGAGTTTTTTGTTTTCACTTACTAAACGAAATAACACAGGCTTAATCCGTTAAAAACGACAAAAAAACAACGCCATTATATTTCAAAATTTACCAAAGACCATATTGAGAATTTAATTTAGTTAAATAATTAAATATTAAATAATTAATTAATCATTTAGTATTTACTATTGGTGAGATGATATTCTGATAGAACTGATGGGTGTTTGATCTCGTTTTCTGAAAAGTCAACTCTTAATGTCATTATGCTTGAAACCGTGATTAAATAGGAATTCAAGTTTTTTATCTTTGTAAACTATTAATAATACTTCAAAATTAAATTGAAAAAGATATATTCCTTAAAAACTCGACGAAGGGTCTGATTGTTTTCTTTCAAATTGGTCTTATAAGCAAAAAGCAAGATCTTCTGGTAAAAGTTTGTCTTCATTAGAGTCCAATATATGAAGATGGTAAAATGCGTCTGACAGACCAAAACATCGAAACTGGGAAATGTCCAAATTATAAGTTCATCGCCTGGCAGACCTCAATCAGAGGTCTCACGGGTGAAGTAACTGTTGATATGAAATTACCTAAATTGAGGCGCAATTGCTCAGTCTTAAGTCCTCAAAACTGCCATAGAATTTAGAATATTATTATCATTCACGTGGAACATATAGAACGTATGTTACTGTCTGACAACTATTATCTAGTCTATTTTATAACGAAGAACCCCGACTAATGTAAACAAATTTTAAAGTATGAGTAAACAAGGGCCCAATTGTTCGAAATATCTGCCAATTTTGAGCAAATTATTTTATCCAGTTAAGCGTAATAATAAAGAAATTGTACTTTGGAAAGGGTTTTGATCAAACAAAGGCGGACGTTTATCATATTTGACTTATTTCTTCCAGGCCTTACAAAAACATTTTTTATTAAAAATAATTTTCGTCGTTGGGGCTGTATCAATTTATGTTGATGTATTTTATCGTTACTGATAATTTATTACCAGGCACAGCGTATTTTGCATATATAATCAATAATTCTTGGAGCATGACTGTATGGCTACATTTGATAAATATTTAGGATTTTTAGTTTTGAAACAAAAAATTGAAATTGTGTTGAAATCTAGTAACTCCATATTTAAAAAGTGTTAATGTTGAATTGATATATGGGTTCATATTGATTTCTACATAACGTACGTTTTTATGTAAGGTTTATATTTTCGAAGTTTCTACAGTTCTGTGTGCCGGTGGACTTGGTTTTCGAGCATCCCGAGAGTCGCCCAAAACAGTTCGTCGCCCAGATCGTCAAAAGTGGCGAGATCGTTCTTCTCCGGGAGGCTGCCGTTGATGTTCAGCACGACCAGATTTGGCAGACTGGTCTTCACGTCGGGCCAGTCCCACGGCGTCGGCTTCCTGAAAGATCGCAAACTTAAATCGAGTCAACTTAAACGGTCGTGGTCCTTACGCGTCGGCGAAGCTCGCCCAAATGTTAGTCATAAATGGGATCATGTGTTGGTGTTCCGCATCCATGAATCCGGGAATCAAGTAAAGTTTCAACGTGTAGCCCAGATCGTCTCCGTGTCCAGCACCTGTAAAAACAATCCAAAGTTTAAACAAACTCAGTTTATCAACACAATCCCAGAATGAATATAAGCCAAAAAATGGTACTTTCTGTCCCTTGCATGTTGTCCTACTGCTACAACACGACGATCACTAGGTTTACTTCATTTTTAGTTGCAACACAGGCAATTTTTATTAAATTGTCAGTCTGCGAGGTAAAACACCTCACGGTTGGTCATTTCCGATCACATTAGTCCGCCTGTCTCCGCTGTTTTGGCTTTTCAAATGATGATGGTGGACATCTAGAACGTGGGGTTTTTATATTCCCAAGGGCTGCATCTTTCAGGTTTGTTGTAATTTCCTACTTTCCAAGTTTAGTTCCATTAACTCGATCCTTCTCTTAAGAAGGAGAAAGTCATTGAAGCATTTCCTTTCTCTTGGGTCTTTTTCTCCTGTAACCGAGGCTATGTTTCCATTGGCCAGTTGCTTTTCATTAGAAGATAATATGATTGGCTGTTTCTTCTTCCTCATTGCATAACCTACAAACTGGGTATTCATTGAATATACCAGTTATATGACGTCATCATTGAATATCCATGTTATATAGCATCTCAGATGCCATAGTTCATAGTCCTGTCAATTCTCTGAGCTTATCCCTTCCTAACTGAAGCAGTGAGGTTATTTTCCTGAGGGTTGTTTCCAAAAGGTTACTGTGTCTGCACCTCGAATTCATCTACTTCTCCTTCTGACGTTTTTATCCATTCTGTGGTAGAAGATTCTACCAGGCGTAGGTACAGGGCATCTATACGGTTTTGCAAATCCTCCTCTGGTCAGTATGACTACCTTTTCATTACCCAAAATTCATTTGTGCCCTGGTACTCGAGATATCGACAGGTGTTTCCCCAGGAGATTTTCGAGGCATTCACTGATTTTTGTGTGTCATGTGATTATTTTAATGTGCTAGTGCTTTTATGGCTCCTTGGCTATCTTATGAAGATTTTTTTTGTCAGTCTCATTTAAGGTTTTCTAACGCACGAGCGTTGAGAGCATGTATTTCAGCGTGGAAGATCGAGGTGTAATTTCCTAACGATTGTACAGAAAATGTGATCCGGTTCCTAAATTTGTTTTGAATACATCTGTATGCCATATGTATCTGATTTCCTTCTAATTTTGAAGCAGCTATTTATTTGTCCGAATCAACCTAATCAAAGAAAAGACTATCAACCAAAAAAGGAATTTACTTCATAGAGTGTTCCAAAGAATGTTTCCGGGATCATGTAGTCTATCTCCATTTCTAGGATTGTGTGTCTAATTTTATTAATTATTGTTGTGTACCCATTGTGTTCAGTCGATTTAGCTGGCCTATACCCTCGAGTAATGAATTACTACATATTTATTGCTGTCGACGATTTAACAGGGTTCACCTTCTTATTTCCGCTTAAAAGTGGTAATACAAAAACGATTGTTTTGCGTCTAACAATTTAATGTGGCCAAACTGGGTGGTCACACCCTTTTCCACTATAATGGAAACCAATAGCCAAAAATCGGGTCGTCGATGGCCGCAACGGTTTAGGCATTAACACAGCGCTCATCACTGTAAGGTAAAGCTCCGTGGTTAGAATCCAGTGGCCCTGCATTCTATCCCGACGTACTTACAGTTGTTTTTTGTTTTTTAAAACACCGGCACCCCGAGGGTTAAGTGATCTCTGCTGTTTCGAAACCTCGTAAAAAATCCATTATAAACAAAAATTGCAGATTATGAGGTGGTTGTCGCCCAGCTTCTAGTACTTATACTTAAGTGATTTGCACTGCGTGTATGATTGAGTCAATAGTAATTTTATACTACTACTACATCAGTAACTTTAAAAAAGAAATGAGCGCATTTAGTTTGGTTTTTCATTTTAGAAAGACCAAGGGCACCAGATTGACATTTTTTGCTTATTTGCAAACTGAAAGTGCTAAAATATGTAAAACAGTATCACTAAATAAAACAAAACTCCACGTAAAACAACAACAAAACGTAAAACTAAGTTTACAATTTAGTCAACAGTTGGAGAAATGCAAATCGGACCGACGATTTGAACACCCTTGGACCCCAAATAACTCATTCGGAAGGGCAGGAGAATATTTTAAAGCCCAGAACGGTCCCTACATTCCGCTTGTGAGATTTAACGATACCATTAGCGTCACAGGTAAAGAAAAAGTAAGGGCAACGGGATTTTATTGTCAGCGACAACATTAAAAAAAAAACAGCTCACAAAAACACTTGAACCTCACAGCGAAAAAGCGAATAGGTTGATTAATTAGGCCTAATGTTGCCACAGGCTGAAAGGTAACAGGAAAAGAAATGAAAAGTGTAAAGGCAAAAGAGAAAGAATCTGATTTAGAAAATATTGATAATTGTTTTAAAATATTTTCTAGAAAATTTATTACATTTTTTGCGCATTGTCCTGACAAATACATAAAGAATATGGCTTCAGTAGGTAAACCAAATTGTTTTTTTTTTTCAAATTATTATTAATTTATGACCGGGTTTTTAAACAAATTGAACAATGTTGGGTATTTAGTGACCGTTAGCGAATGATTATTTGGAGGTCGTGAGAAGTGTTTTCCGTGTAGATGTGTCATTCTTGTGAGTCGTGTTGAACAGGTCTTGAAGTCCAACACGACTCACAAGAATGACACATTTACACGGAAAACAAACCCTTTGAACCCTGAAGATGATCTCAATAAAGATCGAAACGTTGCATGATAAAGAAAATGTTTTTCTAAAACCTACGTCACACCAGACCGCACCTCACGATCTCCAAATAAAAATTGATAATTTTTTGTAATTCAACTGACTAGGAGATAGGGGTAAATGTGGTGGCGACTTTGGAGTTCAAACGGAATTCTATAAATCCCATTGTAAGTTTTGTCTGAGGTATTGTTCACCAGATTTTGAACTCATTAAGGATCCATTTTTGAATCTATCCTTTTTATGCGGCAAGGTGCTAAACAATACGGTTCAGGGACTAGAGAATTCATATTGGCTTCTCTTTTGACCAATATATAAGCTCTCCCGTTGCCTCTGTTGCTCAAATGCCCAGGGACCAATATAGTCCCTAACATATCTTCAGTCCCTGACGAGTTACGATTTTTTGTTAGTTTTTCTGAGGAAAGGTTGCCTTTCAAGAGACAAACACTACTACTATCATCTGAAATAATATTCAGTTAAAAACCTTAACTAATACTCAAATTTGAATTGGCAAAGTGTGGCTTTTTGAATAATTAGGTATGCCCTCATGTTTAATCCGAAAGATGGTCGAACTTCAAGAAAGGTTCATATGTTGTAAGTTTTCAAACGGTATAAGAATATCCGTAGCCATTCCTGATTGTAGTAGACTTACTGTATCAATTGTTGAAAAACATACATGAGATCAACGATCATGGCTTAGGTGACGGTGGGAATAGAAAACTGATGGTCATTGCACTCTCTTCAACGCTTCTCCCTTTGACATAAGTATACGTTGGAAGCTGTTGCTAATAATACCTGTTCTATTACCCAAAAAAAAAAATCGCGCTATCTTTCGGACACCCGGTATAATAATAAAATATAATCCATTAGAGTTCGTGGTCCGATTGACCAATTAACTTTTTTTCTATTAATTAAATTATTATTATTTAATTGAGATAAAAAAGTCAGTGTCACGAACGGGATTCGAACCCACGACCTTCGTCTAAATACGCCGCTGCTCTACCACTTCCGCTGTGGTGACTTCGATCCCTTCGGACACCAACTCGCCACCTCAACTCACCTTTGGAATTTTCCCTCCTTTTTGCCATTTTTCAAATGTCGTGTAATATATTCGATTCTGGGCGACAAATGAAATGGCCACGGAGAGCTTTAGTGAAGGTCGATTGTTCAAATAACTATCTTTCAATTAATTAATTTTTACGTAAGGTATTGGTTGACACAACATTTGAAAAATGTCAAAAAGGAGGGAAAATACGAAAGGTGGGTTGAGATGGGAAGTTAGTGTCCGAGTGGATGGAAGTCAGAGTTGGGCGTAATCGATTAATTTTCTAAATCACAATTAACGATTGATTAATTAATTGTCAAACTATGCACGATTAAAAAGTTAATCGTTAATCGAACTTTCGATTAATGATTAATCCGATTAATAATTATTCAAACTTTCTATTAATAATTAAATTAATAATTACTCCGATTAAACGATTAATTTATTGATTAATAGCACCGCGTTTGGACTCATATTATCTTTGACAGCAAAACAGTACAACATTCGCCACGTAAAGGCTAGATCGTTAAACATTTACGATCTCTATGGTTAATCATGATTAAATATAAATCGTTTTTCTAGATAAACCATTAATAGTTTGGTGTTTTAATAATAATAATAATAATAATAATAATAATAATAATAATAATAGGCAAAGGCTCAACCTTTCGAGTGATTTACAGGAGTTACTGGGTCCCCAGTGTTTCTTTCGAAGAGCACTTTTCAGCTTTCTCAAATTTATTGGAATTTATAATGAGATTTAGGCCTTTTCCCAAATTGTTATACCATTGAATGCCTGCTAATGTTTGAATAAAAGTTGTGCGTGCAAGATTTCTTTTTTCAGAGGTTTTTGAGGCTGCCGGAGCGGAAAAATGAAATGGAAGAAAATACAAATTGCGGGGGAATAAACTGCAATGCCCAAAATCGCAATTTAAATAAGAAAAATAGCTCCCTCCAAAACAAAAAAAAAAGAAGATAAAGATAAAGAAATGTTATTGTGTTTTGTTTCTTATTATTGTTATGTAGAATTAGTTTATGTATCATATTTGAACGGAAGAATAAAAGGATAAGGATGAGCCAATACTCATGCTGAGACTGTTGCTAGTCTGACTCCATTATTATTGTTATTATTAGCCATACAAGCCTACGGGGAATTTTTAAATTATGGAACAAAATTCACAATTCTAATTAAAAAAAGAAACAGAAATAAATTTTATAATTTTATTAAATTTTATGCAATTTAAAATGGGAATTTTGTATGCATTTGGCCTTCCGAATTAAGAATTTTAAAAAGAAAAATTAAAGCTTGGATGGCAATAGGATAAATAAGATTACGAGTGAATGTTTGGAGTCAGAGCTTTATAGCACTCAGAAGAGATATAACTAACCTAACATAGAAGGTTTGGATGTTAGGGCGTGAAATGACCTTAGCCGTTAAAACGCCCTTAAAAATTAATAATAATAATAATATAATAATAATAAATAATACTTTATTCGTCATACAATGCACGACTAAATATTATTCATTTGATTGACAGAGTTGGGCGTAATCGATTAATTTTTTTGATCACTATTAACGATTAATTTAATTAATCTCAAATATGATTAACGATTAGCGGTTAATCGTTAATCGAGCTGCTGATGATTAAAGTAATCGTTAAACGTTAATCAAATTTGAGATTAGAATTTGCCCAACTCTGATCGAAGTCACCATAGCTGAAGTGGTAGAGCAGCGTATTTAGCCGAAGGTCGTGGGTTCGAATCCCGCTCGTGAAGCTGACTTTTTTATCTCAACCAATACCTTACATAAAGATTAATTAATAAAATATAATATGTAGTATTTAGTGACCGTTAGTGAATGATTATTTAGAGATCGTGAGATGCGGTCTGGTGTGTGTAGGTTGAGAAAAACATTTTCTTTATCGTGCCAATGTTTCAATATTTATTGAAATCATCTTCAGGACCTGGGAATTATAAACATTTTCTAAATTATACAAATACATATAACATATGAACATGAACTTACACAATGATGTACAGAATATAGAAATTTTAGGTTTAATCAAAGTATTTGTACTCACCCAAGTCTGTTTTCTGAGTAGATGTGTGACTGTTGTATGTCGTGTTGAGTTTGTAAAGTTTGATTTTCAAGGAGGTGAGAAGGAATTATGAATAGAAATTCATTTTTTTACGAGGAGTCGTCTTCATTGAGGTGAAAGGGATCGACAGTGGAAAAGAGGGGGTAATGGTTTGTCGTTAGGGCCTGAAGATGATCTCAATAAAGTTCGAAACGTAGCACGATAAAATGTTTTTCTGAAACCTACATCACACCAGACCGCATCTGACGATCTCTAAATAATTATAAAATATAATATAAAATAATATTATATTTTATTTATAATAAATATAACATATAAAATACATATAAATTCATATTTCGTAAAAGTCATTTGGTACCCATAAGACAAGGCGATTCAAATGTAACAAACATTTTGTATTCGTTCTCCATATTCGCGATATATTGCAAGTTTTATGGATAAAACCTCGATGGAATCTATTTAACATTATCTTCGTAATGTTTTAGCCGAGTTTTAGTGTTTTTTGAGTAAAAATATTGATTTTTCTCGGCTTGAAAGATAATCGACCCTCACAATTTCGCCTCTACCGGCAATTTCTCCTCAAACAATAATATCCTGTCGGATCTAAGCGCATTTCTCAAATTACGTGCCGGTCGTCATTTCTAAATGATTTATCGCTCCTTCCCGGCCGAGTTGATCTACTTTAAATATGTCGAATTGATCCGTTTGTAGTTGTTATTTTCTTCTAATTTGTTGTTATTTTCTTCGAATTTATAAAGATGGAAAAATTACAAAATAAACTCACCTTCGTATATCGAAGAATTCATAAATATGTTCGCGATGTGGCCCTTTCCGATGTAGTTGAACCGATAAACGTACACAGGCGACGTGTAAAACTGGGCGTGCATTTTGGCAGATTTGTCGATTCCGCCGAGGTACATCCTATCGCTGATCATCTAAAAAGCAAGCCCGATTTAATTTACATTCAAAAGCTGGTCCATTTCAAAAACCCACCCTCACAAAATGTTTCCAGTTCCCTTTTATTGCCTCGGCGCCGAAATAATGCTCTTTAATTTTCTGGCTAACTAGGGAAAGTTTGCTTTTCGATACCGTGTAATTAAAGTCGAGGAGGCTGGGCAAAACTTCGTCCCAACGGTTATGGAGTTCTTTAATCGCTTCCTCGTCCCCCATGATATCTATTAAAATAACAATACACAAAATTTATCAATATTTTGTCCTTAACTGTATTTTTTGAAACAAAGGACAAAATTGTTTTACGTAAAGTAACAATAAAAAATTAGTGAGAATATGAAGAAAAAAAACACTATTTACATTTTAAAATTTATAATTATATTATGGAAACATTGTAAACCTATTTTTAATTAATGTTCAACAATTTCAGTTTTTTTAAACAGATAATAAATAATTCATAGGTACACTAAAGTAATTCTTGACAGGCATGAGAGCTTAACGTTCAACAATCCATTGTCTGTCAAGGACTAGGGGTCAAAAATATTTTACAATGCTTTTTCCAAATCTATTTAGAAATCGTGAGATGCGGTCTGGTGTGATGGAGGTTTCAGAAAAACATTTTCTTTATCGTGCCAATGTTTCGATCTTTATTGGGATCATCTTCAGGGTCTGGGATTTACCAACATTGTTTACATATTACAATTACATTTTGGATGTGAAAAAGTGAATTTATATAATGCAAAATATATTTTATATATTCAATCGAAGTATTTCTACTCACTCAAAGTGTTTGTCTTCTGTGTAATTGTGTCATTCTTGCGAGTCGTGTCGAGAGTGCCAGTGAGATTTTGGTATTTTGTGTTTATATACGTTGGATTTTGAAGGGGTGGGGAAGGATGTCGGTATAGAAAAGACATAAGGCGTCGGCTTCTTTGAGGTGAAAGGAGCCGACGAAGGGAAAAGATGTGTTGGTAATGGTTCGACCTTTATGTTTTTGTGGTGGAAGGATTCATGAAACCTACTTCACACCAGACCGCATCTCACGATTTCTAAATAAATATCGATTAACGGTCACTAATCACCACACACGCTTTTTCCAAACTTAACTCAAATAAAATTCGGAAGACTGCCAGGATTGGAACAGATTCGATTGCTCGGCAAGTACTGTCTAACAACTAGTCCACTGGGGCAGTAAGAATAGACTATATGCTGTAAAAACACTTTTGGGCTGAAACATGTATGCGTTTCATGTGCTGATAAATGTTTGATGTCCATGGTATTGAAAGGTAAGGAACCCTTCAAAATCAATGAAGCTCTACGAATGATTTTGGACATTAAAGAACGGTTTGGTGTCGTCAAGTACCGTCAATACAGTTTCCCTATCCATAATAGGAATAAGAAAATATAAGAAAATTATTAAAACATCAATCCCGTAACAACCATCATCAGAAACGGCATACAGGAATTAAGAAGGACTTGTAGGAGTACATAGCTGACTGACATGACGACTTATGCAGGACCACAAAAATAAAAGGTCAGTTGGCAAAAAGCAGTTGCATAGAACGAGAAGATAACTATCAGATTCTCAAAACCTCTAGTGTCAGAGGAAGGAACCTAAGGAAAAGAAAGGAGTGTATCAAAAACTTAAAACTCAACCGTTAAAGCGATATGAGCATACCTTACTATAGAAGAAGTAAACTGCTTTGATTATTGTAAGTAGGATAAAATTGAAGTGTCTCATCCATTGGAGCCATATAGAGAGCGAGTAGGAACGCCATCCAATATGATTGAACGTGGCAGTTACTCTAGAAGCCTCCTGTGCCTTTTTTTTTTTTTTTTTTTAATTAACTAGGTTGTTCTTCTCTACATGATGTCTCTTTTGGGTTAAATGTATTGGGAATTCATCCATTATAACTCTTTTATATTAGGAGAATAGTTATAAAAATATAGTAATAAAAGATGTCTGCGAGTGAACTGATCAAAACTTGATCATTTTATCGGGTCCATCGATGCAAGAAAAATAAATACATCATCGCTCTACTTGACTAAACGGCACGTATTCGTAAATATGTCTGATACGATTATGTATCGCAATAGCGACAGAACGTTTTGCTTTGGCTTGACCAATAATATGATTGTCCAATTCACTGACAATTTCACGAGGCGTCATTTCAGACATATTAAAATCCTTAAGACTTTGAAGAGAGTTCTTCAAAGTTAAAATTATGGTTGGTATAAATAGAAATATCACTGGCTATATTTAACGCTTTCTCTGTAATATCTCGTGCGCTCATTTTTGTATTTTTTTTAACAGGGTACGCGCAGCTGCTTGTGCATAGGCAACCAATAGCGGTTAAATCATTTTCTGGATGGATGACATCTCCATTACCTGTAATAATCAATGAGCTGTTTTCATCAGCGACAGCTAAAAGCGCTTCAAGTTTTCTCAGTATACGATCAGTACGCCAATCTTTAGCTAGTTCAACAGCGGCTTTCGTTATGTGTTCTTGGTGAAGTTTTAGTTTTCGTTCAAAAAGTTCAAACAATGTAAATGCATCAGTAGTATCGTCAGCGAAGCCCGCGATGACTTTAAATTATAAACGCGGTGTCCTTTACGGACATTGGCTTTCATGACGGTATAACCAATCGTCGACTGTCCATCACCACCACTTGGCCATTATGGCCAACACTTACGATTGTAGTCATGAGTTAGTCCTTGATTATTTTAATCTTAGCTGAGCAGCATAGACAATGCTAGACAGAATAGATATTACAACCCTGTCTGATATAGACTTCAATGACTTATCTACATAAATTTTTCTGGATAGATCCTTTAATCCATTATGATGGCTTGTTATTTAAGCTATGGAGTTCATACCGGTTCACTTTCCTAAACCGATATTGTAAAGACAAGCCATTTCTTTCCTATTTATCCTATTAGATCCAGTGTTCCCTCAAGGAAATATGCTAATTACTCTACAAGATTTAGCTGAACTTGCACTGCATAGCAGTTCTTAACTATTACTTATACCAATCTTCCCGACAATGTTGATTCTTTTTCTACCACCTGCGCCCTTCAAGCCCCTAGAAATCTGGTTAAATGAACAACTCTAAATAGGAACAATTAATTAAGGTTTTTAGTTGGCATAAAAAGTCAGTGGCACGAGCGGGATTCGAACCCACGATCTTCGGCTAGATACGCCGCTGCTCTACCACTTGAGCTATCGTGACCTCGATCCACTCGGACACCAACTTTCCATCTCAACCCCACCTTTTGTATTTTCCCTCCTTTTTGCCATTTTTCTGGAGGGAAAATTCAATAGGTGGGGTTGAGATGGGAAGTTGGTGTCCGAGGGGATCGAGTTCACGATAGCTCAAGTGGTAGAGTAGCGGTGTATCATGCCGAAGATCGTGGGTTCGAATCCCGCTCGTGACACACTTTTTTATCTCAACTAAAAAGGTTAATTAATTGTAAGATATTACTTGGTCAAGCGGACCACGAAACTAGTGAATCTAAACAGGAAGTTTGAAATATAGTTTCAGTCATAATCCAAAAATCTCCCTTTTATTTAATTCAAAAACTATTCAATTATTCATAAAATTCACATGGAACCCACGGCTAAAACGAACGGCCGTAAAGTCAGATACCAAAACTGAATAGACTATTAAAATAAAGGTCGCTGACATTATCAAGTAGGTAAAGATACTGTATCATTGCCTAAATGTCGATCTACTGATTTGAACTGTACAGGCAGCAAAGATTTTAAAAAATCCAATTCTTTGCCAAGTCTAGGTCACAACATGCCAGGTCAAATACGTTGTTCCGTGAAACTTTACATGTTACAAGTTTAAAAAATCACTATTGATTGTTTGTATTGTTATGTTACCTGCTCCTGGGTAGAGCCCTTCATCTTTGTCGAAACTAATTAGCCAAGGCACGTCGTTGGCTTTTCGGTTCAAAATTATGTCGACGGGAGGCTCATCAATAAATGCAGTCGGAACTTGTGGCTCTACTGTCGGACCAAATGGCGTGAAAGGATAGAAGAGCCAAGGCTTAAAAAAACAAAGGTCAGTTTTATAACTATTATTAGAACTATTAATTTAAACATATCTTGTATAATAATATAAAGTGGTATGTTTCTCCTTCTCAACGCTGACAATTTGTAAATTCGACTTTATTATTTAGACAGAGTCAGGCTCAAATCACTACCGGTTTTATCAATGTTGATTTTATGTTCAGGTGAAATGAATTGTAAGCATCTTTAGAGGGGCAAATTGAACAACGAGAGAAAATCAGTCTGTAATTGAGATCTGCTATCTCACCGAGTGGAATTTCAGATATGTCCAAAGTTCTTCTTCAAAAGTTTAATACGTAACTTTGGTCATTAAGGTCAGCGTTAATGGGAGTAATGTATGTAGAGAGGGTGTGTTTCCACTCTAAAAACAAGGTAGATAAGGAATCACCTCAATAGGGAAACATCCCCTTGTAATGTTTACTCAACACTTATTGCCCCTTTAAAACAAATTAAATTTTAAACTCAAATTTTATTTTCTAAACTCAATTTTTTTATTAATATTGACTTTAAACAGAATATAAACAAAAGCTTTGATTCTCAAAAACAAAATATGTCTTGATATAAAAAAACCGTAGACAGACTGGGAAATTTGAACGGTAAATCTCCATCTGTAGTAATACAAAAATTAAATATTAAAATACCCGCCGCAAATGTAACTTGCCCCTTTGTTATTTTTTAAGATATCCTTAAGCTTGACGCTCATTGGACTCACATGCGTATTTTGAAATTGTATATTCTTAAAAATATTTCATTCTATGCAGTTATAGAATATAATACTTGATATATTATAATTAAAAGAGTACATTTTAACGAAAAGATCTAATTATTGAGCCCTAAAACTGCCGAGCGGAGTTGGAGATTCACGTTTGCGTTAATTAATAAATGAAAAAATGAACCGTTTTTTCTTAATTAAAATCTGTAATACAATCTCATACTCCAAATTGAATATATTTTTAAAACGTTTAGCCATAATGAAAAATACACGTAACTTTCATCTCGCTCAGTTATTAATAAAAACGCTTACTATTTACAAGAAAATTAAAGTTTTAATTAGTTCATAAAAATAACAATGTTAGCCGGTTAATATTACAACATTTTATAGGATGGCAGTTTATGACGTTCATAAATTAACTAAAACAGGTAAATATCGTGGCAATATTAAAATAAATATACTGCACAGCATCTAGTGACTCTCCGAGGTAAGTATAAACTCACTGTCACATGACTATATCTTAGGGTCCCTGGTGTTTTAATTGCCTCGAAAATTATCAGAAAACTGGGTTACCAAGAGGTTTGGATAGCCAAAGAAGTAGAATTTTTTATATGTATTTGGATATTATACTTACGTGTTTAATTATTTTGCCACAAATAGTTTTTGTGATAAACGCAAATAAAAAAAATTCAATTTTTTTCCGCCGTATATGCATTTGTTTTTAATAGAACGACTCTGCGGAGTCGACTGGCAAAATAATTAAGCTCAAAACTTCGTAGTTTTTGAGATAAACGCAAACAAAAAAATTCCTTTTTTCCGAAGTATTTTAATATTGATCACTGTAAAGTGAAGTTGATGAATTTTATTTTATTTTATTTTTATTTTTTAATCCCCACGGTTCAAGGACGGTTAGGTGATGGAACGAACAGTAACACCGTAGTCAGTATACTGTATTACAATGTCAACTTCAAATTTGTACAGGAAGGTATTGGGATTATTTGGGATAAGCAGGTTAAAACGTTGTAGGTGTTTTTCAACTGTTTCTCTCATCAAGGAAAGGAGATTAATTGAACTGAGGAGATGATGAGTACTGGTTTGTTGGATTTCGCGATAATTTTTTCCAGGTTGGGGGTAGTTCTTAGAATAGGTACAAATAGGTTGGTTTGACATGGGCACGCTGTAGGAATGGTTTGGGACGGTTAGCGAGGATTTATTTGGCGGAGGGTGTTTTGCTGTGGTTGTCATGACTGACTCATGAAGGTGGATATTTTACAAGGATGTTTAATTAAGTCAAAATGATAAGCAAAAATATTAAAATAATTGTAAAATTTGACAATTCATACCATGAATTCTTTCACTTGAGAAACGATCTTTTTTGCAGGTCTTTTTCTCAGACATTTGATCAATGTGTAGGAGTCAGTCGTGGGACATCCGAGGTTCCCCGCAATTCTTTTTGTTTTCTCCTTAGCATTTTCAGTCTGCGCCCAAGGACAGAGAGCAGAGCCGCTCATGGAAATCGCACGATGGAAATAACCTTTAGATCATTGATGAATAGACAATGTTAATGACCTGATCAGACATTGATAGTACTCGATGTTTTAAAATGTTTTTTATAGACAAGATCCTCCTATTCAATTCAGGTTTTAAATAACAATAATCACCTCGACTTTTTGGTGACAAGAGGTGATAGTGGACGCTGGCTGCCCCTGCTGACATGCCCGCTAAGGTGATACGAGTAGGGTCACCTCCGAACGACGGTATGTTCCTATGGACCCATTTCAGAGCCAGCAATTGATCTTTCAAGCCCATGTTTCCGGGAACCACGTCGTCTTCTGTGCTCAGGAAACCTGTAAACAAATTCGTTTGTATTTCGAACCAGGTCAAAAGGTCTAACGGGGGATGCACCCAGTGGCCCGAGCCTGTAATTGACAGTTACGAGGATGACATCGTGATCGAGCAAAAACTCCGCCCCTACAAAGTTGCCTGAGCCGAACGTGAACGCACCCCCGTGCAGCATTACGATGGTGCTCAACCTTCCGCCAGGCACGTCGGGAACCTGTAATCATCATCACGAGCATGAAATCGATCGGAGATCCGCCATATACTATTTCGCTAGGAAAGAAAACCATTTTTCTCAATAAAAACTATTTAAAACAGTCTATGATTGAACATTTGACGGTTGGCCTTCATATTTCATAAAGGATTTTTTAAACTGATCTAAATGAAAAATATTAATTAAGTCCATTCTTATTTAAATCAAATACTAAAGATTGATGTACAAACATGATATATTTGATAAAATCTGGTTTTAGGAATAGTTACAAACTAGTATTTTTAAATGTTGTAGATTGGCTGGTTGTGATTATCGAGCAAATAATATGGCGTATAGCAAAAATGACTTTTTTTCAACAAATACTTAACTTCTTACTCAAAATAAAACACATCATTATAATTCCATCCAAAGTCATTAGCTATCTTTCAGCTATTTGATGGAACACTACTACCATGCTCTTTGAATTGAATGTCCGGGATGGACCAACATTTTAACTGCTCTAAAACTTCTCTTGAACGAAGTAAGTCATGGACCGAAACAATTAATATTCTGAAAGAGTCAGTACTATGAGGCGGGCGTAGATGGCGTTCAATTCCATAAAAAACGTATTAATTTTTGACTTCTGTGTATGGGAAGTTTGTGACCTTGGTAATCCTCTTACTAGAATAGATCGTTTTAGCTGTTAACCGAAGTCGTAGCCAAAGCTCGGAACTCTGAACTATGAACTCATAGTACATTAATCAAAAACAAACAAAATTTAGTCAAGACTTTGTCCTCAAGGATATTTCTAAACCTCACTGTCACCGTACTTAGTCAAAATACGTACATGCGGTCTACACCTTTTTCCTTTACAGTTTTAACAATATCACGAGATACATCAGTGACTTTATGTTTTTAGTATAATAAGAATGTCTTAATAAGACGTGAAATTGGTAAGAAACAGTCATCTTATTTTTAAAATTAATTCTAGATGTAGATCAGAGGTTTGATTCCTATCCGTTGGTGATCTACCTCTAGAATTAAATAATTATTCAGAAATCGTGAGATGCGGTCTGGTGTTATGTAGGTTTCAGAAAAACATTTTCTTTATCGTGCCAATGTTTCGATCTTTATTGAGATCATCTTCAGGGCCTGGGATTTACAAACATTGTTTACATTTAACAAATACATTTAGGATGTGGAAAAGTGAATTTATACAATGCAAAATATATTTTTTATATTCAATCAAAGTATTTCAATGTTTATAAAACATAGGCCCTGAAGATGATCTCAATAAAGATCAAAACGTTGGCACGATAAAGAAAATGTTTTTCTGAAACCTACATCACACCAGACCGCATCTCACGATTTCTGAATAATTATCGATTAACGGTCACTAATCACAACACATTTCCAGAATTAAAAACTGGTGGTTGGATACTATATCCTCACTGACAAAATTAATCAAACTAAGTTTTTATTAAACCAGTCTAATCTTTATAAACAAGCTTAGATAGTTCCCTCAAACAGATTATTGATTATTAAATTGAATCAACATATATTCCCGTTCTTTGAATTTTCCATATTGTTAAAACAGGCATTTTTTGATACACCATATTATTTGAAAACAGAATCAATTTGAAATTTGCAATTACCTCAGGTGTGTAAACGTTCAAATAAAGGCAATCCTCAGAACCTTCAATCGGTTCTGCAGATTTGTAGTGTGGATGGCTGTACTGCATGCACACGTCCGAAAAAGCGGTAGCGTCGTACACACCGATCCAGCTTGACGCCATCACCGGCTCCTGGAAATTTTCACAAACGACTAAATAATCTAGTATTTGCGGTGAATCCAAAACGATCGGAATTTGTATTTCTTCATAAAGTAACACATCGTAATCAAAAATCAAACTTTAAAGCGTTTATCAATTTTTCACGACTTCTTATTCAAGAATCGAGTTTGCGATTGATCCAGTCTCCATTGATATGTGTAGTGTATAATAAAAAGGATAAAAATATCTGGAAGTATGTGAAAAAGGCATTGCCCTGGAAAATAATCTACCATCTAACCTAAAAAGCTTTATCTAATCTGAAATGGTATAAAATGGGTAAAATATCACAAAAAATTGCTTGCTTTTCTTCTCAACAAATATTAGTAAATAAGCTTTAGGTAAGGTATTTTGGTTGAGATAAAAACGTCAGTGTCACGAACGAGATTCGAACCCACGACCTTCGGCTAAATACGCTGCTGCTCTACCACTTCCGCTGTGGTGACTTCGATCCACTCGGACACCAACTTCCCACCTCAACTCACCTTTCGAATTTTCCCTCCTTTTTGCCTTTTTTCAAATGTCGTGTAATCTATTCGATTCTCGGCGACAAATGAAATGGCCACGGAGAGCTTTAGTGAAGATATACTTCATTTAACTTATTAAATTCATTAGATTTCGTGGTTCGATTGTTCAAATAACTATCTTTCAATTAATTAATCTTTACGAAAGGTACTGGTTGAGATAAAAAAAGTAAGTTGGTGTCCGAATGGATCGAAGTCACCATAGATGACCCTCTCCCGCTCGGGCCACTGACTATTTTATCTCAACCAATACCTTACATAAAGATTAATTAATTGAAAGATGTTATTTGATCAATTGGACCACGAAATCTAATGAATTGAGTAAATAAGGTAAACTTTATTTATTACTTTTGCCTCCCTGAGCCTTTGTTTCTTCAACCCTTTCACCATTGAACTAAGGAGAATCGAATCTATATAAAAACAAACGGAAGTACCGGATCGGGTGTTTTTTGCATAAGTCAAAAAAAATGAGCAACCAAACTCATTAGGGAAGTACACTTCTGTCTTTCAAGCAGAAATACACGCTTTCAATTCTTGTGCCCCAGAAAATCTTAACACTGACAATAAAATCCTCATAAGATCAGACAGTCAAACATGTAAAAAATCACATCAAAACTAGTCCGTGAATGCATCCAAAATCTCAAAACCTGGGAGAACACAACAAATAACCTGATGATATCTTGGGTGTCAGGACCAAAGGAACTTTGGGTAACACATTGGCCAGAGGAAGATCTGCAAAACGAGAATAGATCCAAATAAAAAGAGAAGTGGATAAACTCCAAGGCGCTAAACAATCCTCAACAAGACTATTTTCCGGTCACTGTCATCTAAGAAAACATATACAGAGGACATATCCGATGATGATCCCATTTGTAGATTTTCCTCGGACAATTACGACTAAAACGTTTGCATAGCCTTAGCATTTTATCCTTAAGATTTAACTTAAGAAATTCATCAACTTTTACCCACCACAGGAGGGGCGTCATAACTAGCCTGGGGGCGTCATCAAGTCATCTATAATGTGAAGTGTTCTACATGATTTTTCTCGAGAGAAACTTCCCTAGATGCAAGTGAGGCAGTAAGTAATTTTTTTTAAATTTTGACTGAAAATATTTTAGCTTGATATCACAGTTTAGTCAGTATCATTAGAAAAGATAAATATTATTTAAATAATATCATCATCATCAATCATTTCATTAGCTAATTCTTTGTCTTTAATGGTTCAGTTTTGAAGTTTGTTCTTTCAGATTTGTATTTTTCATTCTTTGAAGGTAGCTAAACCATAATAAGAAATTAGGTTGTTCAACACTTTTGCTTTGGAAAATATTTTTCTCGTTTATCCGGCAGAATCCAAACGTTGTGTAAATAAGTTTTATAATTGAGTAAATACAATAGGATTAAGAATTTTCATTTGAAAACCTTCCTGAAAATTGCGGGCCCTACAGCAAATATAAACTTAATGAAAATTCCCTCCGGTGTTTTCCTGCTTCACAACCTAAGCCATTAATTCTAGTTTATTTCGGAATAGGCCGGAAACTGCTACCAATTTGAAAGAAAAAAATCAATTAAATCTTTGAAATGTTAATTATGATTTTCGTAGTGAGAAAAATACAACAAAATATCGTGCATTTTAGGCGAAACTATTCCGTCCAAGTAGATAAGATATTGCGAAAGACCCATAAATATTTTGTTACATAACAGGAGAACGTACAACGAGCCGGTCGATTTGCTTATTTCGGAATCTCACCGAGGTATATTCGTCAATTAAAGATTTCGAAAGGATAATAAGAAAGGAAATTGGCAAAATACCTTGAACCTGTGATCGCCCAACGGCGGCTTAGCGTACGGGACCCCTTGAAAGGCGTAAACCGTCCGGTTGCCGTGCGTTGCGAACTCGCGTCCTCTCAGGACTCCCTGGTCGACGGTCACTTGAACCATCGACAGGCATAACGTAAAGTCCACGACTAAGGCCAATAAAGGAATAACATTTGCGGAAATCATCGTGAAACTAACCGAACAGGAATGCCGCCGGTCATTTATAGACCGAGATAAAGAAGACAATGAGTAATAAATCTATTATGCTGTTTTTTGCTAATTGTATGTGGAAGTATCGACCAAGTATATATGCTTTTAATCTTTTAATAGGCTTTTACAAGGATGACTGCCTTGTCAGCTTTGGTAATTACTAAATTCCTGTTGTTCTATGCACATTTAATTGTTAAAAAATACGTTTGTCAAGATGAGATTTTTTTAATATGTTTATATTTGATATTCCTTATGAAGTTGGCAGCTTCCGCAGTTCTCGTTATCATGAAGTAAACAAAACCAAAGTCACGAGTGTATTGCAAAAGAATGAGTACTCTTTACCCCTAATTAATAAACTTATTCCACAAAAAACTAACAATAGACAACTACTCCAACTACACTTGAAACTACTGAAAAGTTTCGCATAATTTTATACATCAGCCACATCTCTGAGAAGTTGAAACACTTATTGGACAGACATTGCTCAAACATTAAAATTGTATACAAATTTACGAGCAACTTTTAAAAGAATTTCTTCGCCAAATAAAAAAGTACTGTGCCTACTACGACCCAATTAAGAACTACAAAAAATAAATAATGCTACCATAATCTATATGCATTTTTCTGCCGTTAAACGTTGTTAAAGTTGGAAGGGAATGAGTTTTGTCTAGTCTCGGATAGTATGATCTCCATAAAGCAGATCGGGCAATTTCACCCAAACGCAAGGTGTGATTATCTACAAGCGGAAATCATTAATGACGGCTTACAGTCTCTGCAGAAAAAGTCAGTTGTTTGCTGGAGTCGGGGACATTGTGGCATCCGTGGTAATGAGGTAGTGGATCCATTGACCGAAGAAGCTAAAAAGCCCGATATCACAATATCAAGCTGCCGAAGATGGACGAAAAACGCCTCTTCGCCAAACAGTTTATGCAAGAATGGATCACGTGGTAACCCAGGGAACTGCGAGTTTGTTGTATAAATCCATATTCCCAGAAATATGATCAAAAATCATAGTCACCTGGAATTGATTTTTTGCTTCGATATCCCGGATTCGATCAAACCATTGCATTTGCGATGCATACATGCATAAAATTAGCCGCAGAGCTACTCCAAACTGCGAGACGTGCGACGAACAGGAAAACATAAAGCATAAAGTTTTGACGTGCCCAGAATACGAAAAGGCAAGACAGAAATTTTTCGACAGGATGTACACGCTGAGAAATTTTGAGTAAAGTAGGCAATGTTGGCTTTCGACTGGAAATGTAAACGTGAATAAATTGATACATGCATTTCTGAAAGAATGTGATGTTGATGTGTGACACTGTAACATAGACTTTAGTGTTGTTCGTGTGTTTGTTATGGTAAGTAATTACTTATATGTAAAACTATCTATTTCATTGTTATGTGTTCCTTATTGTTTTAATTTATTTATTTATTATGAGATGTGTACTTATTTATTAACTATATAATGGGTATATCAGTGTAAATTGCGGTATGCTTAAAGCAAATCAATTTAAACAAAAATAAAAGTACTATTTCTAAAAACAAGATCTAATTTAATTTACTGTGTTTAGTGTAAGACTGTCTCAAGGTGTATTATGAGCAGACCAAACAATACTTGGTAGATAATTTAAAAAGCCACAGATATGACTTTGTCGTCCAACACAAACCACGTACTGGCATATCCAAACACAAACTCGTTTTCGTTTCGGCTTTTTACCATCACTGTTTCGTTTGTCCGTACCATGTAATCACTGAATATCATCTTACATATAGAATTGTACAGGGTGCCCTTTTTAAATGGGCCGGTTGAATTTCTCTTGGACAAATGACATCAACAAATCAAAAACACGTGTTTAATATTTTTTAGTCAAGTTTCAAATCTTTACCTTTTTTGAAGAAAAATGATACATATATGGGTACCTCAGGCCCAGTTCGACTTCAAAATTTTCATTACAACCCAATACATCGTGACACCATATTTTAAAGGATTTTTTTTTACACTGAATGGTGCGATCATATTTTAAATGGGTCAAAAAATGACAAAATTATGGCGAAAAATTTGGGGAAAAAACCTTCATTTAATTTGCTATTTATTAATCATATTTCATGTTCTGTCTGCCTGCCTTACATAAAGATGCAAAGATTTGCTCTTTGTAACCACTCTTCACCGGTACTCAAAAAGATAGAATCAGGGGAAATGGATTGACAAGTATTTTCTATCCTTTGCCGCAGTCCTTCAACTGAGGTTGCTGGGTTATTGTTGGTGTTGACATTGTTTTTTAAATGGCCTCACAGAAAATAGTCAAGTGGAGTTAAATCGGGTGACCGAGGAGGCCAACAGATCGGGCCATGAGGTCCTATCCACCAATCCCGAAAGTGACGATTTAAATAACGTCTCACCTGCAAAGAATTGAGTACTGGGCATCCATCAAGCTGTAGAATCAAGTTTATTCGTGTTGCTGCAATATAAGGAGACGGAGATCACTAAGAAACCGGCAACGTAATTTCGACGAGGAGCTGAATATTTTACTGTATTTTGCGAAAATCCGAATTCCTCTCTCCGAAATGTTGGAAAGTTTTAGGTTTTTCACAAAATGAAATTAGAGATGTCCTCCGGATATGCAATTTTAAGCCGTATCGCTCTCATCTTGTCCGGGGACTTCGGGACTCTGATTATGACAGGCATCTAACGTTCCTTGCACGAATGTCGATTTGGGAGGTGAAGAAAACGTTCTTCCATACATCCTATCGACTGATGAATCCAAGTTCACCATGGCATATTAAAATGCTTGCAAGAGGGCATAGGAAACTTCAAGAATTTCGTACTCGTGTTATCATCAGGTGGTTCACTGTATCAACGTTTGATGAAATATTCTCGGAAATAAATTAATTGGGCTTTATTTCTACGAAAATAATTTAAACGGTGCTCAGTTCCTCAATTCTTTTGAGGGAGGTTTTGCCAACAATATTAGAGGATGTTCCTCTGCAACAACGACAAAGAATGATTCTCCAGCTTGATGGATGCCCAGCACTCAATTCTTTGCAGGTGAGACGTTATTTGAATCGTCACCTCCGGGATTGGTTGCTGCAATTGGAGAGGGCCAAACCCAGAGTAGTGGTAGGACTACTAACCGGTCACTGGCATTTGAGAAAACATCTACACAACATGGGTATATACAACGATGATCCCATCTGCAGATTATGTAATGAGGAGGAGGAAACGACCACCCATATCATCTTTGAATGCGAAGCAACTGCTCAATGGAGATTTAACCTAACATATGGAAAAAACTTAGGGAATCAAATTGCAGCAGCAACAGTCAGTGACCTGATACTTCTAAGGAGAAGGATTGGGTCTATTGCACTGAACTAAGAAACTTGGAAAGTACAGTAAGCCAAAAAGCTGCAGTGCCTGGGAAACGCAAACCCCGCTTCCTAGTTTCCTTTTTACCATACCATACCGGAATTGGTGGTTAGGACCTCATGGCCCGATCTGTTAGCCTTCTCGTTCACCCGATTTAACTCCACTTGGCTATTTTCTGTGGGGCCATTTAAAAAACAATGTCAATGCCAACAATAACCCAGCAACCTCAATTGAAGGATTGCGACAAAGGATGGAAAATATATGCCAATCCATCCCCACTGACTATATCGCTCTGAGCACCGGCGAAGAGTGGTTAAAAAAAGGCAAATATTCTCATCTTTACGGAAGGCAGGCAGTTGGAACATGAAATAAATAGCAAACCAGTGACTGTTTGTTCAAACTTTTTGCCATAACTTTTTCATTTTTTGACCAATTTAAAATACGATTTCACCATCGTTTTCAGCGTAAAAGAATCTTTTTAAATGATATGTCAAAATGTATAGGGTCGTATTTGATATTTTGAAGTTGTACTGGGGCAGAAGTACCCCTGTACCCCCTGGTGAAACTAGACTAAAAAATATTAAATATAAAAAATATGCACGTATTTGTTTTATTGCTTTTTAATAGCGTCATTGGTTTAAGAGCAATTCAGCCGGGCCCTCTAAAACACACCTCGTATAGTGACTTTGATTATTTATTATTAACAGAAAAATAAAAAAGATGGATGTTTGGGGGATCACATAGTGTTTTAGCTTGTAAAGTTATTTCATCGAATCTGACAGAAAAATGGACAAACTTGATGTCTTAATCTTCATGTTCATGTCAAGTCAATGTACTTTTAAATGTCTTTTTTTTATTGAAACAGGCGTTTCCTGAACCCTTACATAAATTAATGTATTTCGTCCTTTCGAAAATAACAGCCCAATTATGCCGTTTTTTTCTCTTGGAAATGCCGTTGTTACAGTGAAACGGGCTCCGTTTTATTTTTCTGGACGAAAGGGGGATGATTATAGGTGGTCCCATGGTAGTAGCAATTTATCGCCGTCCTTTTCTCCACGGACGCCTCCTTTCCTCCGAGTTATCGCCTTGTAAATTGAACGGAGGGGACATCATATGAAGTCCCTTCTACCTCGACCCATCGGCCCATCTTCACATTTTCCCCATAGGTAATTCTTATTGTTTTCCTTCACACGAAGCAATTATGGTATTTTCACCCTTAGAATATTGTTTTTTCGGTGTGCATATTTTTTTATTCAATCGTTTAATAAGTTGCATAAACAAATAAGCCAAATAAAATAAATTCCTTAAATAATAATTGTATAACAATACACGAGAATGTGAGGAGAACCCGATACATCAAAATAATACATTGTTGTAGTGATTTGCATGCATTTACAAGGCAGAGTTAAGTAGTTGAATTTAAGTAATTGACAACAAAGTACTGATCGCAAAATAAATTATAACTGAAGAATAGCAAGTTCACAGAATATACAACTTACTTCAGAAGACATGGGAATACAACCAGAAACTGCTGTTCAGCTTCTTCTCTAGAAGAAGATACTAGACGAAAAAGATAAGCAGTCTTATTTGATCAAATTATTTGACGTACATCCTGACATATCTGACCTGCTGATGATGTTAAAGAAGAATTGTCATCTTTCATTCTCTTTGACCCCAACCTGTCTTTAGTCTGTAACTTCTGCTAGAAAAGTTACCGGATTCGAAAAAAAACGCGATTTTTCCTTTACCTTCGGACGACTTACCTTCGTGCCAAGTGGAAAACCCTGACCGTAGTTCATTATCCATTCCTGATAAAAACCTGGAGAAACTCTTCTTTACACTTTTATCCGATACTAGAAATTCCTCCGGAATACAAAACCGTTACACACGTTACGTGTAGCAATGTCATCGGGTTGTAGATGTCTCCCTACCTTTCTTGAGTTTGACGAACGGTTTGCTGTTATATTTCTGTAGTGCAAGCTTTTTATAAAGTTTACCACCATGGGTTTTATTTAAGCACAAAAGAAACCTAGCTTACACTTTTTACCTTATCGTACAGTTCGTCCAGATATTTCTAGGTTTGTGAGGGCCTTGCACTATCTTCCATTTTCCAAATTCACGACAAGGCAATACCCCTAGGTCCTATTATTTATGCCGTACACAAATGGCATGTCAACATCTTTTTTACAGCAATGCCATGTTCGGATGATGCTGGATCTTTTCTCAAAGAAGTGTGTTTCATGTAATTGGGTTTATTCGATTCTTCTATAAAAAACGACCTATTAACTGCATTGCTAAAATCGTTTTCGCAAATCTTTTTGGTTCCTAGGTTATGCCATCCAATATCTCTGTCCGTAATACAGCCACATCACATTCCTTGAGATTGAAGAACGATGTGTGCTGCCTTCGCTAAGCAACCTTTAGGCAAAGTTTCGAAACATGGGTTTAAGTTTTAAAAAAGCATTCCTGCTACTTACTGTCTTACCTGTAATCATCCACGGGCTCTCCCCTATTTTCCCAATTAAAAACTGTGTTTCCCAAGGACATATCCAGATGATATCGATTGTTTCTCCCCATTCCTGTCCCACCGACATCGACAAAATCACATTTTTGCATTATAAGTTTGGTTATAAACTTACAAGTTAACTTGTGATTGGTGATATCTCATCTTTACTAGAACTAAATTCTCATACCAGTACCTCTGATAAGTACGTTTCCCGGGACTTTTGATGGACAAGATACGTGGAACTTAAGTCTTAATAGAGTGGACCTACTTGACTACGTTGTAGGCTATATTAAGCGACTACACTTTTTTTTTCTTTTTTTTAACACTGGAATCCAAGGGGTTTAAAACTTGTGAGAATAAAATTTAAAATTTTGCATCCTATTTTCATCAGTAAACAGACAGTGAAAAGGAAAATATGTAAAATGCGCGAGTCCACCATTAAAAACTTTTCTTCCTCATTAACGTGTAACGCTGTAAAACTAATCAATTATCGTAAAAGCCGTGAACGCCCCAATAATTAATTAGAACGTTCAAATACGTTTTTCAAATTGTTTAAATTTAAATTTATTCCAGATTCTGGGCTCACTATTGTTAAGTGTTTTTCTTACAAGAGAAGTTTTTCCTTACAAAGTTACTTACAAAGTCCTTACAAAGAAGTTTTTCTTACAAAAGCAGAAGATCATTGCTTTCTGCCTATAAATCAAATTTCAGTCTATTTTCGTTATGTTCAATTAACCCTTAAAATATTCATACATTATTATTAATATGGTTATTTATTGACAAATTCACTACTTTTCTTCTTGAAACTACTGTTGATATTATTTTTCAAATTATTATTTTTTAATAACCAAGTAAAACTGGAATATCAATTTAGAATCGACCTGTTTTTTCCAAATAACAGTTAAGTTGTAGTAACTATATTCATAAATTGATAATGTTGTTATTTTTTCTTCAATAGGTTGTTTTTAAAAATTTTTTCTTATTATGTATTTATTTTGTTCCGTAGATGGAGACAACCAAAACAATTAAAATTAAAACAATTGCACTCATCAATTTTAAATCATCAGTTGAGAATTAACACTAAATAACTAAATGACTATGAAATAAAGAAATAGAGTTTTTTTGAAGTATTCATACAACATAAATTAAACACAAACATTTTTAGAGTAGTTGTCAAAAAACCATTCCAAGAATGGTCCACAATGAAAAGAAAGAAAGCGGGGTTTATCAGTAGCACATAATCACTGTCATTTGAACTGCTAAATATTGAAATGATCCATGACTGGAAAATTTAAGTTTAGCTATAAACTGTTCTCTAAAGAAAAACATCAATATTTTCCATTGTTTTATTAAATTTACATTTTTTAAAAATTATTTTCATGATTTTTACCTTAAGCACTAAAAGCGAATCAATGTTTTGCTGAAGATGATCCTTCAATAAAAAATTAAAAATGTCAAATTTTACATTTCAAATAAATACAGTAGCAAAGCATAAATACTTATTGAGTGTAATAATTATAACTAACTAAAAAAGAATATTGTTCACAAATAACACCCCCCCCCCCAATATGATGATAGTTGTTTGTCTCCAATTCAACATTTCTTGAAAAACAGATTCACAGGCTCGTTCAAATATTCCCAATTAGTCCAATTTATCAGTAAACCATTGAAATTAAAAAATCTAAAATAAACAAAAGTGGCAGAGTTCATAGACTGTTAGGCAAGTTAGGGAGGTCGTAGAGAAGTGCTAAAACTTTTAAACCGGAATAATTACAAATATAAAAAGCAATTTTAAATAACATATATTTTTTATGAGCTATTTAAAGAAGTATTTAAAAACTGTACAAATAACTGTGCTAATTTCATTTGCGATTCGTTTTGCTTTGATGGAGGGTGTAATTTGGTGTAATTTAAAAACTGCCTCCTCAATTTAGCCAATTGGATGGGTGTCAGGTTGCTCGGTAGCTCATCTAGTACACAGCTATCAAAACCAGAAATTTTCACTCTCGAACCTTCCAAGCCGAGTTTTTTTGCAGAAAGAATAGCCTATAAAAAAAGAAAATGAAGTGTTTAAATTTAAGCAATAAATAATGTAATGTTGATGCTTACATTTACAACATCCTGAGTCGTTTTATCTAATTCATAAAGAAAATTTGAAGAACAAAGAGGAGCCTTAAAAAACAAATTGCAATGTCAATAAATTTTACATTTACTATAGAAATTAAAAATAATAATTACAGTTTGAGTGGATTGATTTGGTGGAGGAGGCTTCCGGAGAAAAAGTGCTTCATAGATGCTCAATCCATTTAATAAATCTCCTGCTTGCAAAGTGACAAGAGGTGAATCCCACCTAGAATAAAAAAATACATTAGTATGCTAAATAATAGAATACAGAATGTTAACGAACCGATTCCTGTTGTCAGGAGCTTCATAGCGCAGATGTAAAGCGTCAAACGCTTCTTTTGTGTATTTATCACCATCTTGCCTCTGGCAGTTCCACTCCCAGCAGACTTCTTTCGGTCCTAAAGTCTCCAGCGTGAGCTGAGTAGATTTGGAATTTTTCGAAGCGCAATACAGTTCATATCTGTAACCTTTGCAAATTATACTGATGAAGTAATTATACTGATCAGTTCAATTTCTATCTGCTAACCTTTTATGTAATTTGAAGAGTCTAGGATGACAACATTTTCCTTTTCCAGGAGACGTAGAGCTTCTGACTTCAAACAGCCTCTTACCTCCTTCTCTTTTTGCGCATCTGAACACTTACATTATTTTTTTTTCTTTAATAACTTAATCCAAGTACTTACCAAAGACGAGGGCGTTTTTGTCGATAGACTTCTTTGCAAATAACTCATTGTCAGATATCAAATGTACCACCTTGTTGTGCTCTTTAGACAAATATTCCTTGATCTCATTGGCCCTCGTTGTCTTGCCAGAAGAAGGAAGCCCGACCACAATCAATAAAGGCATGATGAAAACTTATACTTTCAACGGATTAATTAATAAAACGCAAATACAAAGTAAAAATAACTCTTATTTCATGGTATGACAGATGTAAACGACCACACCATGCTGTTATGGTTATAAAGTGGAAAAAGGACCTAAACACTTGGTGCTACCTTTAAACTAACGTCTCAACTGAACTATAAATGACGTCACTTTAGGGGAATTGTGAACAAAAATACGTTCGCTATTTACGGATGTGAAAATTTTGTCTTAGCCATTAAAATAGCTTTAATATTTTATTGTTATGTATTATTTAACAAGAATATAATAGCACAATTTAGTATAATTGTGAAGTTTGTAGCTTATCAACTTTTTTTAAATTCGCATGTCATGAACAGGATATTCCAGTTGAAGTCAATTTTTTAAACAAATTTAAGTAAATTGAAAATAAGTTGATAAACGTATTGTAAATGTATTCAACTACCCTTTGGCTGCGTAAATGTGAGCGACAGTCACGCAGCCAAAGGGTAGTTGAGCTTTTTAATTATTCCTCTATGTGACAAGAATTATTTTACACCTAGTATTTGGATAGGCAACCTGAGCACAAAATATTGTCCTCAAATACTCCTCCTTGCGAAGGACTCCACAGACTGTGCGAAACCACTGAGAACAAACTGTTTCGTTCTTTTGGTCCCAAAACGAACACTACAGAAGGGCAACAAAGAGGCACTAGCGAGGTAGGATCCAAACATCATAACTCATGTAAAATTTTATATTGAATGAAAAAAGGAACAATTTCAGCATGATACAATTATGCCTGGTAGAACAATTCTCAGGACAGAAATAGCTCTTTATCACAGTCAGGATAGACGTGCTGCAGCAGAGCCGAAAAAACTTTGGATTATTTTCGGCCGTTTATACATGGGATTTCTTTACCTGACTTCGTAATCATTATATTACTGAAAATTCACTAGTCGTCTTTTTTATGTCCTTGTGGAAATATAATTCCTGGCTGTCATTCTCGATATTCTGCATCAAAATATGATGATTATTTTGCTTTAAAACATTTGAAACCTAAATTTAATTCAATCTGAAGAATCAACTAATCTTTAAAAAAATTAGTTGCCATAATTTATCATGGAATGGGGATATTTTGTGAATGTCACAACTTATTTTTCTTTTCACTTTTTATTGTCAATTCGTATTTTTGGTCCAATGCAGGTACCCTTTTCAAGGCATGAGGGAGCTCGGAACATACTGCACTGATTATTGGCAATAAAAATTAAAAAAAGAGGTTGTAAACCATCACATGATAAATAAGTATTAAAAGGAGAAGGTTTTTCATCTTAGTTGTCTTGATCCCCTCCACAAATGATAAGTAAAAGTGAAAATAAAAGTATGTTTTGTTTTTATTAGTATAAAGTTATTTATTTACAAACATCAGACAGGTTTTACAAAAACACAATTAAAAACATGTTTTAGAAGGAACACTTAACTTATATTTACAAACGTCCTTATTATTTAAAAAATATATTTATATATATATATTGTTCAGATTTTGGCTTTGGTCAGTATAATGTGTCTGAAGTCGCTTGATCAGAACCCATGTGAGATCTTCGCGTCGAATCTGTGGACCATGAAAATGACGGTGGTCTCAAGGGTTTGTCGTCCGAATGGCGGACTGCGAGACCTCTGATCACTTTGTCCGTGCACGTGAACGCCAAGAAAATAAACAATCCTTGCAGAGTGTTAAGCGCGATGAAAACATACCAGAGCGCCTCGACATCCAAGGTGCCGGCAATAAGGCCCATCGTCCAAGTCAGACCCATCACGACTGCGAGACGCACGTACAGTCTGAAGTCCCTCTGGGTGCCTGCACTGGCAGTGAACTTGGTAGTGGAAGTCGTCGAGTAAATCATATGAGCGGAACTGGCGAAAAAAGAGATGTTCAGCCCCATGATGATGGCGAGCGGGGTGGCGAAAAACACCAAAAGCGGCTTGCTCCTCCCAAACCAGCACGAGTAGACGGCGAATTCGGGCCTCCAGTCTTCTGGAACGTCGGCTGGGGTGAGCTGGACCCAGATCGCCGTCGCGACGATGACCGCCGGTGCTGACCAACTCCAAGCAGAGTAAATGAAAAACTTTCTCCATTGTTTTCCGGCTGAAACTCTTAGTTCCGCTGTCGCCAATCTCAACGTCCTCCAGACGTCGAAAGCCATGGTGAGCATCCACATGAACGAAGCCAAAAACGCATAAAATGTTATGACTGCTATTATAAAACAGGGGATGCCTTCTAGGACCTGTCCCGCCATGAACGTTGTGTACGCTACCAACAAAGAGACACAGAGGGAGGCCAGATTCTTCCCTGACAAATTCCTCATTTCTGAAACGAGGGAAAACGCCGTAAGATGAAGGACCAAGAAAATAATGGAAACGCCGAGGCCTGCGTATGTCACGTAGCCCATGTAGATTCCGAATTTGTCGACGTTTTTGAGTCCCAACGTTCCGACGCATATTTCGAGACGACCGTCGTCTGTTATTAAGAAATCGCCTTCCACGAACCTCTTTCTGTACTGGGGGACGTACACTGAATGGTTTTCAGTAACGAATTCTTCTTTTTCCAAAATGAACTTGGAGCAATTGTTTTGGCTGAGCGAGTTGTTCGTGATCAATTCTGTTACTGGTTGCGACGCGTGAGGGTCTTTGTCCGTTAGATATGTGTTCTTGTCCCGCTTGAGCTCAGCGACGATGGATCGACACCTCTTGAAAAACGGATCGTACAATTGGTGTTCACCGCACGGTTCCACCATGCCAACCTGTTTTCCACTTAAGTCGAATAGAACTGAAAACGCTATCGGACTGAACTCTTTGTTGTAATGAGTCCTGAAGAGCAACATGGAGCACCGGAGGTACTGAAGAGGGACGTTGTTGCACATGGCACAATGAGGATTTCGGTACGATTCCGAAGCGTGGTATACGACAGAAGTGTAGGCTTCGCATCTACTTCTCACTTCCACATTGGTCCATTTTACTGCACAGGTTTTGATCAAATTGGGAAGGCAACGTCTCACTATATGCTGGGCCGTCTCCGGAATCACCGGGTCGATCTCGCAGCTGAAAAACTCGCCTTCAAGTCTTATACCCCAACTTGAGAGTTTCTCGTCGAAGGCCAAAAGCTTCTGGCTGTCTTGTCTCGAAAGGTGATAAGGAACCCTATCGCACTCTATCCTCGGGTGCCAGACGTGCAAATCGTAATGATCGTCGTGGCATATGGAACAGTACATGTTCCTGTATGTGATACCCGTGTTGTTGCTAGTCACCGGTATTCCCGCGACTGGATCGCGTTGATTCTCGCTCGCTCTCTCGCAAGCGGCACGTACAGCCATATCGCCCCATTTCGGAGGGCATGTGGTCTGCATGTAAATTCCACCGAACTGCGTCAATTCAACACATTTGTAAGAAGCAGAGCCTCTCCTCTGTTCATCGACGTCGAAGTGAGGCGAGTCGGTGCAGCAGTCGCCGTATCTTGAGCACAGCTGGTCGCACATGCAGTTTCTATCCTTCCAGTCCACGTTGTCCGCTATCCTTGAATTCTTAGCTTGTGTGCACCCGGAAATCCATTCACAGGTCCTACAACAAATCATAAACAAATTAATGATTCACTATCATGCTAGGCAAAGTTTCCAAGTCTCCTTGAAATACACAATACAAATCTTTTAATAACCCTCGTACTTTAAAAGTAAAAGCGTCATATAACTTATATAATTCATTTTGTAAGTAAGAGAATCACTTTAAAAAAAAGTTCTTACTTGTTTGCACCTTCCAAATCCCAATGGCTGATGGATAGAGTCGAAGCACACCGTGCTATCACTAACATTAGGAGTAGTCTGAACATCCCCTTTTCATCACTAAAACATAATTTAAAAAAAAATTAATAAATATTTTGATCTTATTAAAACAATAAATCATATATTTAACTGTTACAATTCCCTACGGATTCTGATGTTTTAGAATTGTAAAATAAAAATAAAAACATTTTTTGCTAGTTCAGAATTGAAATGAAAATCTGAGATTTATCAAACCTTTTAGGTAGGGAATGAGTACATTTTTTAATTAAAATTATACAGATCGAAAAAAAAGTTGAAACATTGACTTCATGTTAAACCGTACGGATATGATCACTCTCTCGATCTGTCTCACGAAAGCGTTCCGGCTACACGCCATGTTCACTGAGTTCATGTTAGAAACAGTACATTTCAGTCTATTTTATTTTATGAACCCTTTATAAAACATTTAAATTTTTCTTTATTAATCCGTATACGCGGGACGCTTTTGTTTATGTTTTGTGCCCTTAATCCTATTTACTCCTCTCTCGGTCCTGTCTGTTTTGTTTATCTATACCCGTATTTCTGCCATTTTTTCGTTCAGATCTGTTCGAGTCTTGTTTCTGGCAAACTAGCTTTATACCTCGAAAATCGTTTCAATTCGCTTTCAACCCTTATCCAATAATTTTCTTTGCTTCCAAGCCTCATCCATGGCCGTGCGAAATCTGGTATGGTTAAGGGCCTCATTACCCGTCCAGCCAGTAGTCCCGAAGCCGCTAAAGGAACAGTTAAGACTTTCAACGCATACTTAAACTTATTAGGCCATTTTTTATGATAATTGTTATTATGGGTCGTGCATAATGCACGTCTTATGTGTTTTAAGAATTTTCACCGTCTTGTCGAATACAGATGGCAGTTTTCCTACATTTTTATCTTAAGCAGTGAACCTTTGATCTGCCTGAGGGCGTGAAGAAGAAAAAGTGTTATTCTCTTTTCACTGACCAAATGCTCTTATCATAAAATATACCAACGAAGACATTATAAAGAAATCCGTGAAGAAATCATAATTTGGTCGGACTGGCGACCAAAGTTCCTTTTGGTTTGTTGCTCATGGCTGGAGTTCTGAAAAGTTCTGCACTGACACACTTGGCAATTCAATAAGACTGATTTTTCTTGATGATATTTTTTCAGTATGTCATTCTTTTTGTTAACGAGATGTCGATGGGGGCATCTTTCGGGACATTAAAAGTTTCATATGAACAAAACTTCCTCATTGTTTTTTGTTCCTTCCGCCTGGAACGGAGGATTTTCGCATTACTTCTCTTGTGGCTTGCTCTTACGATGTGTTCACTGTTTGAGCTATTAGCTCTTTATTTGAGCTCTTAGTTCTTTACCTACCTCTTTCTTTCTCTTCAAAATTCTCTCTCTCTCTCTCTCTCTCTCTCTCTCTCTCTCTCTCTCTCTGTCTCTCTCTCTCACACACACACACACACACACCCGCCTTGGCATACCATGACTGAGCAACAAAGGGAACAGTGGGATTCGGATTAATTATTTTAATTCGGCACCCCGCCGAAACACTATCGGTTCAAAAGTTTGTAGTTTGATAATATTATTATGTAGCTCTTCTATTAGTGTTGTTCCATCAAATATTATTGTATTTTAGTAATTTATAAGAGAATGCTAAGGCTGCGTACGATTGTTTATTGTATTTCAACTTGATTATAAAACTTTACTGTTTCCTTACTTAAAAAAATGTGATTTTTAAACGTTGCCTCAAATGTAAATTATATGTTTACACCTAAAAGGATCGTTCTTATTTATTTCAAACCTGAATTAAGCGATTTTTAAACAAAAAGTTAATTTTTAATATTACGGGTCGCGCAAGATCTTAAAGGGTGTCGGAAGAGGGTTAATACTTGAGAATAGATTTTTTATGGAACAATTTACTTTATCTATTATTGTCAAATCTAAACTGCAAACCAATCAGCCAATAGGTTAATTGTATTTGAAGTCAACAACCCATGTCCATTGAAAAGAAATCATTTAATTATCTCTCTCTGTTATGTTGTTTTTCGTTACTCAAGCCTTTTTTTCTTAATAAAACAAAGGTTTTCATTATCAAGTTACTGCAGATGTAGTCTCTTTTTAATTTATAAAACAATAAATTTAAATTAAACAATTAAATCTTTTATATAAATAAATTTGAATTGCATAATCAATCTTCAGCACAAAATAAACTATGCTATAATTGACTCTTCCACGGCATAGCCTTCAAATTAGCAGGTTTGAAAATAAATGAATACAAGACTACATTAACAAACAACAAAGGAATTTCTAATCGAAGGAAACACGTTTAACGTGGGCCGAATAGGCAGTATATTTGAATGAATAGTCGAATTTTCAGGAAAAAAGTACCCAGAAAGTACAACGAAGAACCCGGTGTGTAATAGAGAAAAATACTGGAGTGGGAAGTTCATTACAAAAATTATATCACTGCGGGTAAGAAGCGTCGAGTTCGAGACTCTTGTAAAGACGCTTGAAGGCTGACTAGAAATGAAGAAAAACTAGTAGTAACAGAACGAAAGAAAGAGATAAATATTTTCAATATTAAAATAAGAGACCACAACAAAAATGCGAAAATGAAATACGACAAAAACTTTTTAGAGTGATGAAAATGAAGGTAGATCAAGTCAGTCACAAAATGAACGCAAACCATATGATACTGGGAAAACGTTATACCCAAACATTTGGAAGATGACTTAAAAAAGGAAGCTGGACCGACTTGGAGCATAAAAACTAAAAAGAAGAACTCCGAAGGAAATGGGACAGTCCTAAGCTCTAAAACGTCATTGAAATAAGTAAATCCAAAAAAGTAATAAATAAAATCTGGATCACGGTATGGTCATGATGAAAAAGCAAATTCAACTATTACTGCCAAGCTTTCGGCCTATTTTAAGGTCATCATCAGCGTAAAACCATCTTAGTTATGTCTACAATTTGACATAATTAATTTTTTAATAGGTGATTTCAAATTTCTTTGAAGAACGACTCGTCCCAACTTTGTCAAGGACTAGTAAACTTACAATCTTACCTGTTGCAGTCCTTGACAATGTTAGGACTGAGTTGTTCTTCCAAGAAATTTGAAATCACATATTAAAAACTTAATTATGTCAAACTGTAGAAATATTTAAGTTTGTTTTGCCCTGATGATTACCTTAAAATAGGTCGAAATCTTGGCAGTAACTGCTCGTTTATTCGTGAGTAAATAAGTGGTCGATACAGCTAACACTTAAAATAAATATATAAAATCAAAGTTATAAACCGTCTTCATTGTTGCGATACCGTTAGTTTTTTGATGAGATCAGTGCAGTGGAAATATTAACATTAACGCTGCTCTTAGAACGCAGGTTAATTAAAAAGGTAATGATTGGACTTTATTCCGCCGTTCTGATATGCTTTCGTGATTCGAGACGCAACGGTAACTATTTACTTACAAAGGTCCTGGCCTGCTTTTCTGGAATATTTTCGACACGGTGCCGGCCATGTAAAAAAAAAGCTAGCCGGTTTTATTGTATTCTTCCTTCTTTCATAACTCTTCGACAATATGCCCGTAGTCGGCCGTTTGCAAAACAAATCCCGTCCGTAATTCTCAATTGCGAAATATAAAACCCTTTCGTTGAAAGTTATCAGCGTGGAATCTATGGTTGATTAAAAACGATTGTGATAATCTGAAAGACTGAAAAACGTTGATTTCAATTTATCCCGAGCACAAATCGAAATGTGTCACTTGTTACTTAAGCCCAAACCTTTGTCAAACTACGGAAAACTCCTCCTTTTTACAATTTTATTACATACAATTAATTAAGGTTTTTAGTTGAGATAAAAAAGTCAATGGCACGAGCGGGTTTCAAACCCACGATCTTCGGCTTGATACGCCACTGCTCTACCACTTGAGCTATCGTGACCTCGATCCACTCCGACACCAACTTCCCATCTCAACCGCACCTCTTGAATTTTCCCTCCTTTTTGCCATTTTTCAATGGCATTTATCATTTATTACATACTGAGAATCCCGGAAGTGTAGGTCATACTTCAGGAAGTTATCCTTTTTTGTCAAATTTGACTAAAAAGTACTTATTTCCCAAAGTTTTTTTCTCATTTGCATTTGAGATATTTGTCTTTTTAGATACTCAACCCTTGTCAACTTTATTCCATAATGTCCCCCGTATCTCATACTAATTCTATTGTAAATTTGATAACATCAATAGAAAATGGATTAAACCCCTACGGTACCCTATGAGGTTTCTTTTATGGTATGTTTAATTGAAGTCATTCAATCACGAATAATCCTGATCTCAGTTACATATTCAATCTTCTCGACCTATTTTAAGGTCATCATCGGGACAAAACAATCTTAAAGTTGTCTACAAATTGACATAATTATTTTTTAAATAATTGTTTCAAATTACTTTGTCATCACATTGCCAAGGACTGGATAGTGTGTTATTTTGAGAATGAGTCGATGTTCAAAGAAATTTGAAACTATTCCTTATGTCAATTTGTGGACATCTTTAAGATTATTTTACCCGATGATGACCAAAATAGGTCGAAAGCATGGCTGATAACTAATGAATTTGTGTTTCATCAACTTAACCATACCAAGAGCAAGATTATTAGTAAGTAAAAGAGTGGTCGTACATCTCATAATATAAACAGAAGGTATTTAAAGGCAAACAAAATACCAAATCAATTAAAAGATAAACTATTACGAGTTTCCCAATTTCTTGTCTGAAGTTGTGGACATTCTTGGTTCCGTAAATACTGAAAAATTTGGCGCTTACAGAAAAGTTGCCCCTACTAATGAGCTATAACGATATGTAACTAATTCCTCAACGGTCGGTTTAATTTAAAATTAATGTTTAATTTTAAACCTTTGGTTTTTTGACGAATAATATAAGTGATCTTTAACATTTTTATTCCATTAAAAACTACCAAATATTTTCCATTGTCAGTACTGAGAATTTCATTTAGAATTCACATTGAACTTAGCAAATTTGTTGAATTTCATCACTGTCACATCG